CGACTGCCACGATTCGCCTCTGCCGGGTCTGTTCTTCCGTACCTTTATCTGTTCTTTTAGGTACTCTGCTCGCCCCATCAGAGTCTGGATCTGCCAACACAAAAGCAGTTGTAATTTGCATCCGTTCAGGAGAAAAGAAAGACAAATGTGGAAGGATGGGGGGTTGGGGGGGGGTGAGAACGGGTTACCAAGCCTACAGGCAAAAATGTGGGCTTGGGGGGTAGAGAGGAATGAGAGTTAACGATTTCCAGGTTGGTGGAAAGTGCCGTCAAATAAAAGCTGACTTATTGTGACTCCGGTAGGCAAGAGATGTCCAGAGGTGGTTTGCCACTGCCTGCCTCTGCGTAGCGACCCTGGACTTCCTTTGGTGGCCTCCCATCCAAGGACGAGCCACAGCTGACCCTGCTTAGCTTCTGAGATCTGACGAGACTGGGCTAACCTGGGCCATCGAGGTCAGGGCAAGAGACATTCAGAGACGGTTGGCCATGGCCTGCCTCTGCACAGCAACCCTGGCCTTCCTCGGTGGCCCTCCCATCCAAGGACGAGCCACAGCTGACCCTGCTTAGCTTCTGAGATCTGACGAGACTGGGCTAACCTGGGCCATCGAGGTCAGGGCAAGAGACATTCAGAGGTGGTTTGCCATGGCCTGCCTCTGCACAGCAACCCTGGCTTTCCTTCGTGGCCTCCCATCCAAATACTAGGCCAGGGGCACCCCTGCTTAGCTTCTGAGATCTGATCAGGCTAGCCTGGGCTATCCAGGCCATAGACCTTTAAAAAGAGCAACACGGATGACTGACTTCCAGATCCATCCCACTGCCGGTTGCCATAAAACTAAGAATGTGATTTTGCAAACTGGCAGGCTTGTTTCCAACCGGCCGCCAAGAACAGTTCAGGAGGCAAATCGGGCCCATACCTCTGCATGCAACAGCTCCCGTCTTCTCCCCGCAGGCTCAGCTGGAGGCAAAAAAATGAGAGCGTGAGACAGGAGGAATTATTGCAGCGCACAGTTTTGCCAGCTCCAGGTTCGGAATTCCTGAACATTTGGGGGCGGAGCCTCGGGGAGGGTGGAGTCTGGGACGAAAAGGGAGCTCCAGCAGGGATGGGACGCTGTCACCGTCCACCGTCCGAAGCAGTCGTGTCCTCCAGGGGAGCCGATCACTTTCACATCTGGAAATCGACTGCGATTCCAGGAGAGCTCCAGGCCCCACCTGGAGGGTGGCAACAGCACTTCAGACCAGAAAAGTGAACTTAGCCCAATGGCTTATCTTTGACAGCCGCAAGCCAGGAAACCCACAAACAGGGGAAGAGGGAGACGTCCAGCCGCTGCTATCTGTCCACGGTATCTATTGACGAGGAATGTTCACAAGGATCCCTCCCATCCGCCAACCCTGCCTGGCATCCCTGGGCAAGAGAGCCAGTTTGGTGTAGTGGTTCGGAGCGGCGGACTCTAATCTGGAGAACCGGGTGCGGTTCCCCACTTCCCCACTTGAAACCAGCTGGGTGACCTCAGGCAAGTCACAGCACTCTCAGCCTAAAAATAAGCATCGCTCGCCACCTAGTGGTGCCACAAAAGAGCTACAGCTTCAGCCGCCAAACAATCCCTTCCGGGGGTCTCCTGGCTATTCCACCCACAACGTCATACGATAATTAATTTTCTCCTTACCTGCTAACATGAGCAAGAGCTCCCCCAGGCTTTGCTGGTACAACTCGAGCGTTTCGCCGTCGTCGCTGCTTTCCTCCTCCTGGAACAGAGACAGGGAAAAGTTCTGGGAACACAAGCGCTTCTCCCAGCGACGGAGCTGTGGGGAAACGCGACCAACGCAAGACGCATCTGGAGGAGAGGGCCAGATGGATCCAGACCAGAAATAGCTCCTTCCCACAAGCAGCGTGCCGTGACAGAGAGTCATCACACACATTCCCGCCCCCAGCACTGATTCCTGGCTCCGTTGCTGGATTCCAAACACCGCTTGGGAAACCAAACATAAACAGGTGCTAGAGTTTCCATCAGGTTCTCAGAGCTAGGTGGATCTCCTCCAACTTCAGAATGTCTGGGGGCCCATTGCAGGTATACCTAAAAGCAGGGGTGTCGAACTCATTTGTTATGAGGGCCGGATTTGACATAAATGAGACCTTGTTGGGCCAGGCCACGTGTGTCATAAAATGTAATGCCAGGTAGCGGAGATATAAACTTTATAAAGGACACAAACACAAAGGTTTTTTTTAACAAAATAAAAACATGGTTAAAACAATAGCACTCTTGCAATATTTTGTTTATTTAACAGTGTCTGATAACTGACACCTCTCGCTCTGAATTATTACATCAAAATGAGAAATTTCACATTACCCCTTTTAACCCGTTCTGAAGCCGTTTTTTGATCCGTCCTGGAGAAAACCGGTATAGGGCTGCCATTTCACACATGGCTTTCCACTTCCGGTAAAGAGCTGGATCTGAAGCGGTTTGCCATTTCAGACTGCACCGCTTTCCACCCGCCATTTTTCGCCCGCACGAGTGATCTCCGGCTTTTTTTAAACATTTGCTTTATAGCGCTATAGCACTATAACAAAACACTCCAAGCATTCCAATGGTGTTGATATACTGCTGTTCCGTTATAGTGCTATAGTGCTCTAAAGCAAACGTTAAAAAAAAAAGCTGGAGATCGCCCGCGCGGGTGAAAAACGGCAGGAAAAAGCACATCAGAACTGGGAGAGAAAACTGAAGACTACTTGGAAGCGGTTGACAGGTAAGACGCTTTAGCCCCGTTTCCTAAATGGGACAGAAGCGTTTGTGTCTGAAATTACAAATATATTCCGGTAGGGAACCAGTTCTAAAACGGTTCTGTCTGAAATGACAGACCAGAAACCGTTTGGCAACCGTTCCTCTTCCGGATTATATTGTCTGTCTGAAATTCCTCAATGTCTGTGCTGTTGCAGTCTTGAGTATGCTGTTCAGGTGTGTATCTGTAAGCTGCAAACCTATGATGACGCAGTTGCAGCAGAACTGGAAGAAGAAGCAGAAGACAGCCAGTTCCACTGTGGGCCTGACAGAAACCCTCCAGGGGCCTGATCCGGCCCTGGGGCCGCACGTTTGACACTGCTGCCTAAAAGGGTCTGGGTGCAGGAACAGCATTCATTTATTTACTTTATTTATATCTCACCATTCTTCCCAACAGGGGCCCAAAGCGGCTCACGTCATTCTCCTCTCCTCCATTTCCCCCTCACAACAACCCTGTGAGGTAGGTTAGGCTGAGAGTGGGTAACTGGCTCAAGGTCACCCAGTGAGCTTCCACGGCACAAGTGGGGATTCGAACCCAGATCACCCACACCTGAGTCTGACACTTTAACCACTACACCATGCTGGCTGTTCGTGGGATGGGGGGGAATGGCCATGCCCCACTACAGACCCCTACTTTGCCCCCTACGCTGTCCCTCAGGGGGTCACTGACACACACCCCCGGAACAAAATTGCCAAGGGCTGCAGCAAAAGGGTGGAAACACGAAAATCCCACATTGTGACTTCCAGGGATGGTTAGATATGTGCCTCTGATAGTTCCCCCATCACCACCAGCTCACCTTTGCCACGGCCGCTGCCGCTACTTCCAACGCCGCATAAAGACGAGGCTTGTTCTTTGACATTTCTGCAACAAAATTGAAAATGAGCGTCAGCCAGCCAGCCAGCCAAGGAGAAGAAGAGATTGGATTTATACCCCGCCCTTCAGTACCCAAAGGAGTCTCAGAGCAGCTTACAACCTCCTTTCCCTCCCCCTCCCCCTCCCCACAACCGACACCCTGTGAGGTAAAAGAAGAAGAAGAAGAGGTTGGATTTATACCCCGCCCTTCAGTACCCAAAGGAGTCTCAGAGCAGCTTACAACCTCCTTTCCCTCCCCCTCCCCCTCCCCACAACCGACACCCTGTGAGGTAAAAGAAGAAGAAGAAGAGGTTGGATTTATACCCCGCCCTTCAGTACCCAAAGGAGTCTCAGAGCAGCTTACAACCTCCTTTCCCTCCCCCTCCCCCTCCCCACAACCGACACCCTGTGAGGTAAAAGAAGAAGAAGAAGAGGTTGGATTTATACCCCGCCCTTCAGTACCCAAAGGAGTCTCAGAGCAGCTTACAACCTCCTTTCCCTCCCCCTCCCCCTCCCCACAACCGACACCCTGTGAGGTAAAAGAAGAAGAAGAAGAGGTTGGATTTATACCCCGCCCTTCAGTACCCAAAGGAGTCTCAGAGCAGCTTACAACCTCCTTTCCCTCCCCCTCCCCCTCCCCACAACCGACACCCTGTGAGGTAAAAGAAGAAGAAGAAGAGGTTGGATTTATACCCCGCCCTTCAGTACCCAAAGGAGTCTCAGAGCAGCTTACAACCTCCTTTCCCTCCCCCTCCCCCTCCCCACAACCGACACCCTGTGAGGTAAAAGAAGAAGAAGAAGAGATTGGATTTATACCCCACCCTTCACTACCCAAAGGTGTCTCAGAGCGGCTTACAGTCTCCTTTCCCTTCCCCTCCCCACAACAGACACCCTGTGAGGTAGGTGGGGCTGAGAGAGCTCTTGACAGCAACTGCTCTTTTTCAAGAACAGCTCTTATCAGAACTACAGCTTGCCCAAGGTCATCCAGCCAGGTGCAAGTGGAGGAGTGGGGAATCGAACCCCGTTCTCCCAGATTAGAGTCCGCATGCTTAACCACGACACCAAACTGGCTCTCAATCTTTCTAAGGAAGCGATGGAAAGACAAGGGCTTCATGTGCCAGTGAGGTCTGTGTGTCCTATTTGGCACCCTTTTCCCCAGTCCCAAAGCCCCAATCAATACCAGGGACCCCACCAGCATCGTCATTAAATGAGGTTGTGGACTATGGGTCTGATCGAGCAGGGCTCTTCTTATGTTCTTGTAGGGCATCCAATTAAGCTGATGGGCAGGAGGTTCAGGACAGACAAAAGGAAATACTACTGTACACAGCGAGTGATTAAAATGTGGAATTCACTGCCAGAGGATATAGTGATGGCTACAGGAATAAACAGCTTTAAAAGGGGATTGGATAGATTCGCGGAAGGTAAGTCTATCAATGTCTACTAGGCGTGGTGACTGAGGTTAACCTTCACATTCAGAGGCACTAATCCTCTGAATCCCAGAGCCAGGAGGCAACATCCATCCCCCATTTTTGGCCCTCCAGAGGAACTGGCTGGCCCCTGTGTGAGACAGGGTGCTGGACTAGATGGACCACTGGTCTGATCCAGCAGGGCTCTTCTGGTGTTCTTAGGAAGGCCTCGGCCTCCGTGCCCTGCTGTTGGCTGTCCAGAGGAACTGGTTGGCCCCTGTGTGAGACAGGATGCTGGACTAGATGGACCACTGGTCTAATCCAGCAGGGCTCCTCTGGTGTTCTTATGAAGGCCTCATCCCCTCTGCCCTGTTGTTGGCCCTCTAGAGGAACTGGTTGGCCCCTGTGTGAGACAGGATGCTGGACTAGATGAACGACTGGTCTGATCCAGCAGGGCTCTTCTTATCGATGTTCTTAGGCAGGCCTTGGCCTCTGTGCCCTGTTGTTGGCCCTCCAGAGGAACTGGTTGGCCAGTGTGTGAGACAGGGTGCAGGACTACCTGGACCACTGGACTGATCCAGCAGGACACACCAGCTCTGTTTTTCTTTGGCAACAAATGCAAGAGGATGTGGGAATGACAGTAATCGATTCTTTCAGGGCTGCACAGCCCGGTGTAGACTGCAATGACGCGCCCCTGTAAATATGCAACTTCCGTGCAAGCTGTGGAACACAGGATGCTCCCGGGACCCCAACTCAGCCAGGCGGGGGAAGCAAACATTTGTCCTTTATGTTATTTCTAGTCTGCTTTTCTCACAGGGACTCAAGGCGGATGTCACAGAGTGGGTGAGTGCAAACAACAAGATGTTTGCATGACCAACAACAAGATGTTTGCATGACCAATCAGGGACCAACACGTGAGGCTTTTTTGAAGTCACGGACTCCCAGAAAAAGAACTGAAGCAAGGCATAAGTCTTAATAGGACACATTAAGCGTCACAGAAATTACATATTCGAATCCTACTTGCAATACGCTGTAAGCAACAGTATAGACCACATGTCCCAATCATTCATCCAAGCAAATTTGTAAAACCATTTCTGCGCAGCGTGACCCAGTTAAAGTAAAGGTAAAGGTTTCCCTTGCTCGAAAGCCAGTCGAATCCGACTCTAGGGTTGCGGTGCTCATCTCCGTTTCAAAGCCGAAGACACAGCGGAGCCGGAAAAGGACGCAGCTGAAACCGGAAGGAGGCGGGAAGTCGCGCGCCTCGAGAGAGGGAGGTTGCTGCCAGGCGCCGAGGAGAGTGTCCCGCCTGAGAAACCGCCTGAGCCAACAGGAAGAAGTAGAGAACACCACCAACTACCAACCACCACCATAGGGGTGCCGGTAGGTCTCCCCACCCCATACAAATGTGGCCTTAGTCAGGGAAGTAAAATGGTGACTAGCACCGAATTGTAAGCCGCTCAGAGACCCCCCTGACAAGGGGGTTCGAGCGGGATATAAAGTTGAATGTTAAAATGTTAAATAAATAAACCGTTCCAGAAGGCAGGAGCCACAACGGAGAAAGAACGCATACGGGCAAGTTGTTGATTTTGCCCATTTGTGGGTTGGCGCCTGCGGAAGTCCCTGTGGCTGACGTGAGCGAAGGTGTCATGGCGGCGCATCGGGAGAGAGAGGTGCTCCCACAAATAAGAGGGGCCAAGACCACAGAGGACTTTGTATGTGATAGCCAAGACCTTAAACCAAACCCGGTAATAGAAGGGCAGGCAACGGAGCATCCAGCTCCTGTTAACAGCTGAGCCAGTGACGTTCAATAAACACACAGCCACAGATTGGGCGGGTTCTGCTACCACATGAAATACGGCTGAGAGACACAGGTATCCTCAGTCTAGCTTGGGCGTCTGTAGATAAGTGAAAGTTCCCCCCCTGGTGGCCAGAAGATAGCATTAGTGGTGGAGGAAAGTGCCAGCAAGTTACAGCTAACTTATGGAGGGACCCCTGTAGGGTTTTCAAGACAAGAGACGTTCAGAGGTCGTTTGCCATTGGCCTGCCTCTACAGAGAGATCCCGCGCTACCTTTGTGGTCTCCCCACCTCTGGCCTGGCACCTAAAGGCCAGTATAGTGGGCAATGTTCCCTCTAAGCTGTGGAGCCTTGTGAGCAAAAATTCTCCTTTGTGAGCGACTGCAATTAAAGTTGTGAGTGTGCAATTTGGCTGCTGCATAAATTAGTTTGCTCCAGAGCCATCCTTCCTGAGCGAAGACAAAAATTTGTGAGCCGGAGGCTAAAAAACTGTGAGCTAGCTCAGACTCACTCAGCCTAGAGGGAACACAGATAGTGGGCACCAGGCAACTCTCAAAGGGGAGGCCATTCCGAAGGTGAGGGGCTACCACTGAAAAAGCCCCGCCACTGGTCGCTACCCAGCTCGACTCTGCAGGTGGGGAATGGAAAGTGAGGGTCTGGGAAAAGAATCTTCCCTTGAGGGCTGAAAAGTACAAGGAGGAGGCAGTTACTGAAGTGCCCTGAGTCTGTTCCCTCTAAGCTGAGTTTAGTGTGAGCTAGCGGACAGTTTTTTAGCCTCCGGCTCACACATTTCTGTCTTAGCTCAGGAAGGAGGGCTCCAAAGCCAACTAATTTATGCAGTAGCTCAATCGCTGGCCCACAACTTTGATGCCAGTAGCTCACAAGCTAGAATTTCTACTCACAAGACTCCACAGCTTAGAGGGAGCATTGGCCCTGACCTTAAGCCATTTAGGGCCTTAAAGATAAGACCCAGCACGCCAACGTCTGCCCAGAAACCAATTGGTGGTGGTGGAAAGCACCATCAGATCACAACTGACTTGCAACAACCCTGTAGGGTTTTCAAAGCAAGAGACGTTCAGAGGTGGTTTCCCATTGCCTGCCTCTGCGTAGCAACCCTGGACTTCCTTGGAGGTTTCCCACCCAGATATTGACTCAGGCCGACCCTGCTTAGCTTCCGAGATCCAACAAGATCGGGTTAGCCTGGGCTATCCAGGTCAGGGCTAGCAGATAGCATTACTGTCAATGATTGCTGTCAGGAAAGGCTGCTGCAATTATTTCGTAAATGATTGAGCTTTGCAAAAATAAGACAAAAAATCAGACTGCTTCTCTTGCTTTTCACAGCCTTTGGACAGTTTACCACTTATTCCTACTGGTGAAGGTTCAAGCAGAAAGCGCCAGGGCAGGATTATAGCCAAACATCCAGAAGAAGAAGAAGAGATCGGATTTACACCCCACCCTTCACTCAAGAGTCTCAGAGCGGCTTACCATCTCCTTTCCCTTTCCCTCCCCACAAGAGACGCCCTGTGAGATGGGTGGGGCTGAGAGAGCTCTCTCGAGGACTACTCTTGAGAGAACAGCTCTGAAATAACTTGTGACTGACCCAAGGTCACACCAGCAGCTGCATGTGCAGGGGTGGGGAATCAAACCTGGTTCTCCCAGATTAGAGTCCGCGTTCTTAACCACTACACCAACAACTACTGGAAAATTACACAACTTTAAGGTCGACGCTGAAGACGCTGAAATTGTTCCAGATTGTTTGTTCCTCGGCTCCATTGTCAATCAAAAAAAAAGGAGACTGCAACCAAGAAATCAGAAGGAGAACAAAACTGGGGAGGGTAGCCATGAAGGAGCTAGAAAAGGTTCCTAAGTCCCAGGATGTATTACTGGCGACCAAGATCACGATAATTCATGTGGAAGTATTCCCCATTACCATGTATGGGTGTGAAAGTTGGACAATGAAGCAAGTGGACAGGAAGGGAGTTTGATTTCTCTGAAATGTGATGTTGCAGGAGAGTTTAACAGATAACCGTGGACTGCCAAAAAAGAGAGTTAACTGGATTCTAGATCAAACCATGGCTGAACTCTCCCTAGAAGCTAAAATGCCTAAACTGAGGCTATTGTACTTTGGTCATATTCTGAGTCCTGCCAACCTGGCAGTTCGAAAGCAAGAAACTGCAAGTAGATAAATAGGCACCACTTTGGTGGGAAGGGAACAGCGTTCCGTGCGCCTTGGTGTTTAGTCATGCCGGCCACATGACCACGGAAACGTCTTCGGACAGCGCTGGCTCTCCGGCTTGGAAACGGAGATGAGCACCGCAACCCTAGAGTCGGACTCGACTGGCTTCCGAGCAAGGGAAACCTTTACCTTTACCTATTCTGAGAAGACGAAGACTCCCTGGAAAAGACAATCGTGCTAGGAAAAGCGGAAGAGGACGACCCAACATCAGATGGACGGACTCAATCAAGGAAGCCGCAAAGGCCCTCCGCTTGCAAGACCTGAGCCAGGCTGTTGACGAGAGGACGTTTGGGAGGACATTGATTCATACGGTCGCCTTGCAGTCTGGGCTGAACCCGAGCTTCCCAGCTGACCTTTACCTTTCAGGATGTCCCGCGCCGGATGTCCCAGCTGCAGGAGAGCTTTGTTACTGGATGCGACCAGGACTTTCAGTTGCTCCGCTCGCGAGATGTACTGGCTCACCTACACCGCAGGCAGAACGAAAGCTCAGAATGGCCCCAAGCAGGGCTTTTTTTTTGTAGAAAAAGCCCAGCAGGAACTCATGATCGTAATAGGCCACACCCAACAGCAGAAACCCGTTAGCATATTAGGCCACACCCCTGACCGCACAGCTCATTGGCATATTAGGCCACACCCCCGTGCCTTCCCTTGGCTTGCCCCGGTGCCCTGCGGCTATGGGGATCCCAGGCAAGCCCCCCGCCCTTAAAGGGATGGGAGTTTAAACCGCCTTCCCTTGGCTTGCCTGGGGGCCCCATGGCTGTAGGGAGCCCGGGCAAGCCGCCCCTTGGAGGGGAGGGGAGGCAGTTTAAACTGCTTTCCCTTTGGTTTGCCTGGGCAAGCCCCACCCCCTGACAGCATATTGTATTATATGCAGACAAGATGACAGCCAGTGATGCATGTGTAAGATTAAACTGATCTAGGTGACAGGCAAGACTGTCATGTGACAGGGTCACCAGATGCAGATTGCACTAAGTTGCATCAGCTCAATTAACTGTCACCATGAGTTGGCAAAATGACTCTGATTGGTGCTAGTAATGTATATAAGGAATATAGTCCTATAGTCAGAGTTCCACACCTGTGGAAGAGTGTTCTGCGAAGCACCTTGTCGGTCAGTTCTGTGAACCGAAAGGAAGGCAGTTTAAATTGCCTTCCCTAGGCTTGCCCGGGCGCCCCGCGGCTGTGGGGAGCCTGGGCAAGCCAGCCCTTGGACACGCCAGGGAAGGCACGGGGAGGCATTAAAATGCCTCTCCGATCCTTCCAGGGCCCCCCAGTCCGTCTGCCTCGGAGTCACCGGGGGGTCACTCCCCAGACCTTCCCTCTGTAGCCAGGCACGCAGAGGTTTTGGCTGTAGTGGGCGTGGTCAACTCTGAAGCCAGCCGGAACTCCGTTCCTGTGCGTTCCTGCCCCAAAATAGCCCTGGCCCCAAGGCAAACACCCCTGAATAAAGTGTTTACATACAGTTCTGTACGGGGTAGAGAAAAGTGATGTCGGAACTCCCCCTGCCCCCACTGCTGGGGTACTAGGTCACCCGAGACACACCAACTGGTTGTAGGACAGGCAAAACAAAGTATCTCTTTGCATGGTGGGTTATTAGTGAATGGAACTCACTGCCACAAGATGTGGCAGTGAGGTTTTTAATAAAAGGGGATAAGGGGAAATTGTGGCAGAGTGCTGAGCAAGGGCTGTTAGCTCACGAAAGCACAAAGGAAGGGGTGGGGGGATTTAACCCAGAATGAATTGAATTAAGAATCCAAAGGTTAAGAAAATCAGAATATAGCACCACTGATCATTGTCTGACCCTGAAGGCTCTGATTCACAAATATTCGAATAACAACAGAAGTCGCCTCTATGTTGCTTTTGTTGTAGATGTTTCTTCAGCTTTCGATGCTATCGCACGTGCTAGACTTTGGACTAAATTAGCCAATACAACTATTGATAGAAGACTCCTCAGGGTTTTTGAAGGAATTACATTCTAACCTTTCAGTTAGGAACATCAAGGCCCAATGTGTCTAAACCGGAGGCAAAAATATTACCAAATACATTAAAATATACATGCATTTATTAGTAAAGGTAAAGATTTCACCTTGCTCGAAAGCCAGTCGAATCCAACTCTAGGGTTGCGGTGCTCATCTCCGTTTCAAAGCCGAAGAGCCAGCGCTGTCCGAAGACGTTTCCGTGGTCATGTGGCCGGCATGACCAAACACCAAGGCGCACGGAACGCTGTTACCTTCCCACCGAAGTGGTACCTATTTATCTACTTGCAATTTCTTGCTTTCGAACTGCTAGGTTGGCAGGAGCTGGAACTAGAGACGGGAGCTCACTCCATCATGCGGCACACTCAGGTCTCGAACTGCTGAACTACCAACCTTCCACAGCCTGCAGTTCAGCGTCTTAACCACTTGAGCCACCGCAGCTCCTATGCATTTATTACAAATTCAATAAAAACAAACACAGGCCCAAATAATAGCCTCCGTTCAGAATAAAATCATACATTAATCCCAAAAATGATTGAGCCTGACCAAACGTGTTTTGGCCAACTGGCCTTCCTCATTATTATATGGGCCATTATTTGTTTTTATTGACTTTGTAATAAATACATGTATATTTTCGTATATTTGGTAATACTTACACTTCAAGTTTAGACACAGAACTATTGGGCCCTTATAATCTGATTTCCTTGACCTTTTGGTTCTTAATTCAGACCAATAAAACATCCATGAGAAATGGCAGTATACCTCAGAATACCAGTCCTGGGGAGGGGGGGAGAAGACAGGCTAGGCCCTTGCCTTCATAAGTATCTTATGTGCTTCCCAGGAGCACAGTGAGAAACAGGAATACTGTGGCAGTGCTCCCTCTAAGCTGAGTTAGTGTGAGCTAGCTCACAGTTTTTTAGCCTCCGGCTCACACATTTTTTGTCTTCGCTCGGGAAGGACGGCTCCGGAGCAAACTAATTTATGCAGCAGCCAAATCGCTCACTCGCAACTATAATGCCAGTATGCAAAGTAGAATTTTTGCTCACAAGACTCCACAGCTTAGAGGGGGCACTGGAGACTGGACACCCAGTTCCAAGCACACAACGATCCCACCCTTCCGAGAAATTGCAGAGAGGGGCCGTCGATTCACCTTGGCCCTGACGGCTTCCTTCCTGCGAACGTCGACTTCATCTGAGAGAGACAAGAGAGACATCCATTTATTTAAACGTATTTCTATGCCCGCCTCTCTCTGGAACATCCTGGGACCCAAGGCGGAGAGCTGTAAAGTAAAAACTGATTTTATAAAATAAGAGGTTAAAAAGAACAGACGGGGAGCCATCGGTGTGAGCCTTTCTGGGCTGGCTCTTTCCATGGCTGGCGCCCTCAACTTGTTTGTTGCTTTGAATCCATTTTTAGGCCACTTAATAACAGGCCACAGATATGCAATGCACACAAACTCAACAAGACAAACTGTGCATGTTTAATGGGGGGAAACGGGCACTGGGATACAGAAGAAGAAGAAGATGAAGAAGAGGAGGAGGAGGAGATTGGATTTATACCCCGCCCTTCACTACCCAAGGGAGTCTCAGAGCGGCTTACAAACTCCTTTCCCCGCTCTGAGACTCCAAGTGAAGGGCGGGGTATAAATCCAATCTCTTCTTCTTCTTCTTCTTCTACACCAAACTAGCTCTCTCAGAATGTGGTGCAAAAAAATGAATACGAGGGCTCTTTTTGTAGCAGGTACTCATTTGCATATTAAGCGACACACCCCTAATGTAGCCAATCCTCCGAGAGCTTACAGTAGCTCCTGTAAGAAGAGCTCTGTAAGCTCTTGGAGGATTGGCTACATTAAGGGGGTGTGGCCTAATATGCAAAGGTGCCGTCAAGTCGCAACCAACTTATGGCAACCCTGTGGGGTTTTCAAGGCAAGAGGTGGACAGAGGTGGTTTGCCACTGCCTGCCTCTGCACAGCGACCCTGAATTTCTTAGGTGGTCTCTCATCCAAATACTAACCAGGGCTGATTCTGCTGAGCTTCCGAGATCCAATGAGATCGGGCTAGCCTGGGCCGTTCAGGACACCACAAAAGATGTACAGACTTCCCTGGTAATTTCAAAGTCCTGTTCTCGGATGGGCCTTGTGAAAGAAGTCTGCATGTGTATCTATAGCTTAGTTTCAACACTGATTTTCAGTGAGATTTCACGGTGTTTTAGCTATTGTGCCGTTGGCTACGTGCAGGGGTCATTTCGTAGAAAAAGAGGTGCAGCTCATTAGCATAACTCATTAGCATAACTCATTTGCATATGTCACACACACCCTGACATCACCGGAAGTGTGTTAAGGCAACGCCCACCGCTCAGGCTCCACTGGACTGTTTTGGATTGCTAGCTATTGGGGGGGGGGACGTGCAGTTCTGTCCTCGCAGAGGAGGGAGAGCTTGTACCTGAATAAAACTTGGTCTTAAAGGTGCCACTGGACACTTTTGGACTGGGGGGCTGGTGGGGGGGCTATGCAACTTACCTGGCTGCTTCTTGCTCTGACTGAGGGCTGCTGGGAGCAGGGGGCGGGGCTTGTTGCATGTGCCCGCCCCCTGGGCTCTTTACTGCCGGAGCTCCACTCCTGTGCGCTCCTGCAGGAAATGACCCCTGGTTTTGACACTGATTTTCAGTGAGATTTTACGGTGCTTTAGCTATTATGCCATCGGCTGCGTGAGCCACAAGTGAAACGTTGCTTCGAAATCTTGACAGTCGCCCTCCCATTGCTGTGATGAGACCAGAACCAATCACAACAAAAGCAGAAGGGTTGCCAGATCTGGGCTGAGAAACACCTGAAAAGTTTGGGGGCGGAGTCTGGACAGGGCAGGGTCTCGGAAGGGGAGGAGCCTTGGAGGAAGGCTATCATGCCAGTGACGCCACCTTCCAAAGCAGCCATTTTCTCCAGGGGGACTGATGTCTGTAGTCTGGAGGTTGGTAATCCTATTGAGAAGTCTGTGACTCATCCGTACCATAGTGCCACCTCTAGGGGGAAAACTGTTGCCATCTCAACGGTCCAGGGTTATCCTACTTCTTCTGGAGGAGAAAGGCACACGGAAAGAGGAAATGGCGGCACAGCCACTCACAGCGCAATGCAGGGACGAAATATTCTAAGGCCTTGGAATACAGCGACAGGGCGGCCGAATAATCCCCTTCTTGGTCCTTCTTCACAGCTTCCGTTACGAGCGAGGTCTGCAAAGGGAAGAAAAGGCCAGAGATGGAACGCCAGGTGTAGCCCACGGGTCCCCAGCCTTTTGAGCCTGTGGGCACCTTTGGAATTCTGACATAGCGTGGTGGGCACAGCCACAAAATGGCTGCTGAAGGAGGCGGAGCTGGCCGCAAAATGGCTGCCGAAGGAGGCGGAGCTGGCTGCAAAAAGGCTGCCGAAGGAGGCGGAGCTGGCCACAAAATGGCTGCTGAAGGAGGTGGAACTGGCTACAAAATGACTGCCGAAGGAGGCGGAGCTGGCCGCAAAATGGCTGCCAAAGGAGGTGGGAGCTGGCCGCAAAATGGGTGCCGAAGGAAGCGGAGCTGGCCGCAAAATGGCTGCCGAGGGAGGCGGAGCTGGCTGCAAAATGGCTGCTGAAGGAGGCGGAGCTGGCTGCAAAAAGGCTGCCGAAGGAGGCGGAGCTGGCCACAAAATGGCTGCTGAAGGAGGAGGAACTGGCTACAAAATGACTGCCCGAGGAGGCGGAGCTGGCCGCAAAATGGCTGCCGAAGGAGGTGGAGCTGGCTACAAAATGACCGCCGAAGGAGGCGGAGCTGGCCGCAAAATGGCTGCCGAAGGAGGTGGAGCTGCCCACAAAATAGCTGCCGAAGGAGCCAGAGCTGGCCACAAAATGGCTGCTGCGGCAATGTTTTCTTTAAAATCTGCGCAGCCAATCAAATCTCTGATAGCCCCTCAGAAACCTAGCTAGACAACAGCCCCACCTGGCCCTGGCCGCTTCCTAGAAAACACTTGGTGGGCCCCAGGAAAGTTGTTGGCGGAAAACTGGAGTAGAGGGACATTTTATACGAAGGGAGATTCATGAGGTCCATCTCATGGGGTCACGGAAACGCCACTCTCTTGGGAGTACAACAGGACCTCTGATTTGCCTCCGTCCCACCGCTCTCTGAATGGCAGGGTAACCCCATCCTCCCCTGAAGCTTCCACGGGTCCTGGATATATCAGGAAGTCAAAATACACCTCAGGGGAGATGAGCAGGGAGGCCTCTACCTAGTGACATCTCCACTCACTGCTTTGTCCAGACTTTCGGCACTCGGCATGTGCTCCATGTCGACGAAGGGGTGGGCAAAGAACTCCTGGAAGGAGATGCGCTGCTGGGGGTCCCGCTTCAGGAGGCGCTGGAGGAGGTCCCGGCACTCCGAGGAGAGCCGCGGGCGGGTGGGTAGCTGGGAAGAAGAGGAGGAGATTGGATTTATACCCCGTGGCCCTTCACTACCCAAAGGAGCCTCAGAGCGACTTACGGTCTCCTTTCCCTTCCCCTCCCCACAACAGACACCCTGTGAGGTAAAAGAAGAAGAAGAGACTGGATTTATCCCCCGCCCTTCACTACCCAAAGGAGTCTCAGAGCGGCTTACAAGCTCCTTTCCCTTCCCCTCCCCACAACAGACACCCTGTGAGGTAAAAGAAGAAGAAGAGACTGGATTTATCCCCCGCCCTTCACTACCCAAAGGAGTCTCAGAGCGATTTATAGTCTCCTTTCCCTTCCCCTCCCCACAACAGACACCCTGTGAGGTAAAAGAAGAAGAGGAGATTGGATTTATCCCCCGCCCTTCACTACCCAAAGGAGCCTCAGAGCGACTTATGGTCTCCTTTCCCTTCCCCTCCCCACCACAGACACCCTGGGAGGTAGGTGGGGCTGAGAG